TTTCTTTCTTTCTTTCTTTCTTTCTTTCTTTCTTTCTTTCTTTCTTTCTTTCTTTTTATGAACAAGAGATATTCTGTTGAAGCTCGTCCAGGAGCTCGGGGATGAATTGTGCCCTCCAGGACAGGCTCAAAGCAGAAGGTGGATCCCGCATCATTGGTTTGAACTTTGCACACTGAAACAAAACAGATACTGCTTTCCAAAGGCTCCCGAGTCAGCACTAGAATGAAAAGTGTCAAATCTCATTCTACCCAGGTCAGACACAGGGCCCACCTCTTTGAGCGGAAGCCAAGCTGGCAGGCTCTAAGGACTCCTGAAATGGGCTGGCAGGGAAGGGGTTAGCTTTTCATTTACATTTTCAAGTCTGAAAACCCACCTGCACAGTTAAAGAAAAAAATTCAATAGATCTCATCAGAAAGTGGACCGGCACCCCAAAAATAGCAAAAGGAAAATAAAAGTCTTAGTGGTTTGGCCTCAAGACTCTCCTGACTTACAATGGCAAAAAGGCCAGTCGGCAAACAAAATAGAACCATTTTCAACGAACACTTTTAAGGAGAGAGGTCTTTCAAATTTTAAAATTGCACCAGCAAGTCTAATTTCTATGTTGTATCCCCTGAAGATTTCTACCCAAAAGGACTTTTAAAAATTCTCAACCCCGAGAGAAAGACCTTTAACCTCTTCCAAGAGCTATTTAATAGCTGTCCCATGTGTTTTTTGTTTTCTGCAGTGATGAGAACACAGGGCCCTGCAAATGCTAGGTAAGATGGAGCCAGTTTCGAGGTATGTGTGGGGAGGGGGTTCCTTTAAACGCTTTACCTCTGAGATGAATCACCAGCCCTTGTCCTCAATGCTTTTAACAAGAGAGGTGTGTGTAGCTGTCAGCCTCAACTGCGCAGTCTTGGGGGAGTGGAAGTGGTGGGCACCCAAAGGCACAAAGCAGCTAGTATCTGAAATGGGCTTTCTGCTTCTTAAAAAGGAGGGGCTGGCAAGGTCAGCAGGAGTAGGCCTGCTCCCCCAGGCTCTCCTGGGGGTCTCAAAGAGGAATCCTGCAGAGGAGCGATGGAAGTGAGGGGCCAGGAGACCAAAAGAGAAATCACTTACCTCAACCCTTTGTTCTGGAGTGTGAGCTAGGGCATCAGAGGGAAACAAAAGCCCCCAGAGAACAAGGTTTCCACTTCATTTGAATCTCCCCCGACTCTTACCAGAAAACCCAAGCTGGTTGACTGGGGTCAAAAATAAATAAAAAAAAGGCAACTTGAGGGATCTTTACCTTACAGATACACCATCTGCAGGGAGAGGTACATACACTTGATTCTCTCCAAGTGACTGTGTGTGCAGGTAGAAAGGCCTGGAAAAGAAACAGGAAAACAAATGGAATAGGAAGGTTTGGGGTAGGGGTGGGTAGAGGGTAGCTGGATAGGAACACTGCACACAAAGCTGGTGTGTGTGCAAACAGTTGTATTGCTGCCCTCTGTGTACCAGAGCACCCTTCGTGGATCCTGCTTAAACCTGTACCCTGGCTGGGGGGGGGGAGATTATACTTATGGCAAGCTGACTGCCCTTCGGCAAGTGCAAGCCAGGTAGAACAGAGCTTGGCATCCTCAATCAGCGAGCTCTTTCTGCCATGAGCCTTACCAGGGAAGGTCAGGTGTCTTCCTCTCTTTTGAACCCTGTGGGTGTCAATCTCAGTTGCCCCTGCCATGCTAGGACTGCTACTGGACTGGAATGTGTAGCAGCATGGGGAGGTCACTTTCAAAATGCCTAATTTGTAAGGATGGGGGTGGAGAGCCCCATCACAAAGGCCATACAAATCATGTTTGTCTGCCCAGACCTGGAGGGAGAGATTGTAAGTAAGGAGCAAGCATCTGGTAGGATGCTATGGACCCCAGGAAGATTCTCCTCTGCAGGGGTAGGGAGGGCAGATAGTGAAGGGTCTGTAAGAACTGCTGAAGGCTTGCTCTAACAAAGCCATAACAAAGGCTTCCTGCAAGCTTACTATCAAGGCTCTTTCAAAAACCACACACCTAGCAGGCATGTCCCCAGGTCCCAGGGTATGGAGCAGATTGATCATTCAGAGAGGGAGAAGATGTCAATGGTGTGTGGCTGGCTGCCCTGGGGCCTCAGCCTAAGAGTCCTGTTATCCCACAAGCCTCTAGGGACTTGGGTGCGTGATTGTGCCTGGGTCTTTGGGGACTTATTTCTAGCTGATCTCCCGGACAGCTCAGCAAGGCTGAGGCCCAAGCCCTGCTGAGAAACATAATTTGCTCTTGGTTGTCTTGGTAAGGTTGAGGGTAGCAGTTTGATTTAAAGAAGCCTCCCTGCTGAGTAAGAGGAAGAAGGCTCACAAATGGAGAAGGCTCCTTGGGTTAGGTGGGTGTCTGAGTCAGTATGGCCTTTGCAGGGAAAGAGCAGGCTGCTGTGGAAAAGATGTTCTCATACCATGAGGTGAACCGCAGAGACTAGGTAGGCATCTCCAAGCCATTAAGCCCATTACTTGGCTATTGCTTTGGCAGTGAGAGACTGGCAGGATTGAAATCTACATGGGTCAAGTGGAAGAAAAAGAGAAACAGTCATGACAGACTACCTTAAAGATCATAGCTGTACATCCCCACAATGAAAGGTAAGGCCCAGGTGCAGCTCCCATACCCCCCTCCATGCGGTGGCTCCCGCATCACTTTAGGAACTACAGAGGAGCTCAGTGCACCACAAGCAGACATTCAGAGCTGGGGTTCAAGGCCAGGAGCAGGTACAAGGTAGGTGGTGAGGTTACAACTCTAGGAAAAGATTTGACGTGTGTGTGTGTGTGTGTGTGTGTGTGTGTGTGTGTGTGTGTGTGTGTGTGAAATACAGTCAGTGATTGTTCCTCCCCTTTCTAGAAAAGGTGTTCCCTTTCCTAATTCAACCCAAACAGAAGCCCAGAGAGATTGCCACAGACCTCCGGGCCAGCAGAACCTCCCACCTACCCTGAGGTACAGAGAGGAACCCCATTCCCGAAGCCAACCCTCCAGACTCCTCACCTTCTTTCTTTTCTCACAGGCCTGGGCAGTGCTGAGCCACCCCAGGAATGGCCTCAGCAGGATTTTCTAGACATTTCTGCCAGTGAGAAAGTCTTGGTGAGATTTCAGGAGGCAGTGACTGACATAGACCCCACCCTTGGCTGTATGCGAATACAAATGAGACGCATTTTGGCAGATCAGTCCAATGTAGTTCATGAGACTGTCTGGTCAAATTTTCTAGTCAAAAATAATAGAAGAAAAAAAACCACTGTAAAGAGCTTACATGTGGGGTTTCCATACAAAGAGCCAGGTGAGGACAGGAACAGGGAGCTAGCTGCAGACAGCATCCAATAAGCCCTCCTAAAGGGCAACCTCATGCCACAAAGGAGAAAAGAGGTGAAACCGATTCTGGTTGCTGCGAGAGACCCCCCCCCCCATAAAAGTAGATGGGCTCTAGCTAGGGAAACCTTTAAAGCTACAGAATTTTGTTCCTAGAAAACATTTGTTTTCATAGACTTGGGTTGCCGGGGACGGGTCAGCCTCCCCCAGCTTACCCGGCATCCTGAACAACCACGTGCAAGGGCCAACTCAGAGGATGTTATAGTGATGGATAGGTTTTCTGGCCTAATCTAATCCTAATCTGAAAGATGGGAGCTCTCCTCCTTTCCTGTCTATGACCCCAGGTTCTCCCACCAGGTATTCTGAGAGGCAGATCCTATCAGGCTTTGGTGCTGTGGACCTCTTTGGATTGGGAGGTGGTGGTGGGTGACGAACAAGTGTGAGGACTAGTTTTACTGGTCACTTTGGGAGAGCTCTGGTCTTTGCTCTATCAAGGAATCCTAGAATGTTCGGGACAAGTGGATTAGACCACAGACCCGTCAGACCAAGGGCTAACATCACTCCCATCTCCTGAACCTCAGGACATTCCTGGTCTTCAATTTGTCCAAAACTAGACTGTTTTTTTTCCTCCTGTCCCCAAGCCCTGCTCCACTCCACCATGGACTTGGTAGGGAAGCTCCAGAGCCTCCAGGAGTCCTGCTGTAGCCTCCAGTTCACTCTCCCATGGCATCTGCAGGGAATTTGTTCTCAGGACACTTAGGGACAGAGGGAATTTCCTGCTGACCTGGATGCTCTCTTGATGAGCTGTGCCACTGGGGTGAGCTGCCCACTGAAAGCAATACTAGTTTTACTTTCAGGACCCCACTCAGGGTACTAACAGTCTAAGCTAGACCAATATATATATATATTGTCCCTGGGGAACCACTGAAGAGAAAATTCCAAACACCATCCCATTCAAAGGAAGTTTAGGTTTCAGAACCCTCTGGATACCAAAGGAAAAAGAGAATTCCATGCCACCCTCTTACCTGTTGCCTGCTGAAGACACTGTCCTTGCCTGCAGTATTTCTTGGCCATCCCACTATGAGCGACACCCCACTGCCGGGCAATTAACTCTGACATAACAGAAATGAGGAGGAGGTCCGCGGGCTTCACGTAAGGGAAGAGGCCACCCAGAGCTCCAAAATAATCAAAAGCTTTAGTGCTGCTGAGAGAGGACCTGTTAATCCCAAGCAGGTCAAGGGTGGGCCACACAGCCTAGGCATCTATGCCCATATCGCCCCGGCAACCTGGCAGGTACATCAGAACCAGATGCATCCTGGTGTTATGGGCTTGCACCCAGGAGCTGAGGTGCTGGGCAGATGTCTTGAGCAAGACAGACTTCAATCTCTTTGCCCCGAACACTCCCAATGCTCTAGAAAACCAAGATGAGAACACTACAAGCAGAGGCGACACACAAGACAAACTGGCCCCCTCCAACCGCTCAGCTTGCCTGCTTCGGAGAGATAGAAGGACCCATGTTAAGTTGCTCCCCCTTTTCTAACTGTGGCCTTGAAGGGCAATTTAATTCCCTCCTTTGCTCCGTGCCTCGCCTGCACACACACAACCGAGCGTGGACCTCCACTTGGGGATAACAAGAGGCTGGCAAAGAGACGGGGAGAAGTGGCAGATGGCCTCCTGGAAAATGCAGGCCCGGCCACACAGTAGCCCCGAAACTGATAAACTCCTCTGATGCTTGCCCCTCTTCAGACAGCCACCCTGCTCCTTTCTTCTGACTCACCAGTGGCCCGCGAGCTTGCCAGCCCACGGGCGAAAAGAACACTAAACACATAACACCAGTACTTCATTTTCTGCTGGTTTCCTCCGTCTCTTTCACGCTCTCGTTCTCCCCACCCCCACCCAGGCAGGCCGTGCCCCAGCTGAAGGAGAAGTTAAAACAACTTGTTCTTTTAAATGACCTCCGGTTTTCACCACTACCAGGATGCTGGAAGAGCGTGTACCCTCACCTTGCACCAAGTCCACTTCCAAACCAAGTCAGTTGTAACCACCATGGTCAATGACACTCTGCATAACTTGACAGGATCTGAAATCAAGGTTCCGTTATTTGCCAAAAGTAGCCACGAACTTTACTGAAAGAAAGGAATTCAGCATTGACAAGGAATACACACAAACACACACACACTCCTTAAAACATCATGTAGCCTTCTAACTTCCTGGGATTTAGGGGAAGGATGATGTAAAAAATCTTAGGCAGCCGATTTTAAAAATCACCTGATTGTATTGTCCGAGTTTGAAGTTCTCGACTATAATCCTAAGTAATAAAGCCGTTAATAGGCATAATTGGTATCTCGTTGATCCATGTAACTGGTGCTTTATTAGTGACCCAACTTAGTTTTGTGGCAAAATACAGGTGGTTTAGGATCTGTAAAAGGAAGCTAGTCATTTTCAGGCGACTTTCCCCAGCAGAAGGCAAAGTGCAGATAGACATCTGTCTCACACATTCGCTCCTCTGCTTTTTTGTACACTTAAGGATAAACACTACAGATCTGGGTTTTGATTTCTCTAGATGAGGTCATAAAGTACTGTGTGTGTGTGTGTGTGTGTGTGTGTGTGTGTGTGTGACTGAACTGAAGATTCATGGTTATCGTGGCTATCATCATGTGCATTAAAAACAGCGAAGAACTCGGTGTAAACAGAGAAGGAACGGGCTCGCTAGTGAGATCAAGTGTCTGACCAAGTTCACTTTCCACCCCTTCGCAGGAAGAGGGTCGGTCACCCGCTGAAAGCGAAAGCTCTGGGGATTTGGAATAGCACCCCGCAGACATCCTGGGTTCTGGGGCTTTCTCCCAGCACTCCCACCCATACCCCGCTTCAGAGTCCTTTGCAGGACTTGGTGATCCAGGGTGCCCAGTGCGGGCTAGCTTCCCGGAGCTCTCCTAGCCCCTTGCTGGCTCCTCAGCGCACTGGACTCACCCCTCGCGGTCGGTCCACTCCCTCCAGACTAGAAACGGGTCCCCAGTTGGGCAGTGCTGGAAGCCACTTCTCAGCAACGTCAACCCACACCGCGGCGCTTGTCCGGATCTGTGCTCCAGAGGAGCCGGAGCCCGGCAGCCACCGGCGGTGGGGGCAGGGAGGCCCGGGAGAGCCTCAGCCTCCAGCTGGGTTGCGGCTTTCTTATGGAAATGACCCGAGCCCTCTTGCTGGACCCGAGCAAGTCCCCTGGTCCCCAGTCTTCTCTCCGCTAAGCTTTTCCTCCCGCAAACCCTCGTTCTCCGCATCTTACCCTAGCGGGACCGATGGCGATGAGCGAGCTGTGCGCCCCGGCCGCAGAGCCTGGGCTGGGTCTCTCCCTCGGCCCGATGGGCTTCAGTTCCACATTAAATATTCATAGCAATCGCTACTTTCTTAAAGGCGAACCCACCGCGCGGGAAAGTTCCCAGCCAAGGGAACTCACAAAGGAAGGTGTCCGCTCCCTCTAGTCCTGGGGGTAGCTAGGCGCTCTGCTCCTAGCGCTCCGACAGAGAAAGGAAGGGCCAGAGGACCCTCTCTCCTACTGTCACGATATTTCTTGTAGAGTGTGAGCTTGGAAAGATGATCACTCCTTACATAATTATTTGAAAATGAGGGGTCACATCGAACGCTTTGGGGGTTTCCAAAACATTTCGTTATTTTCTTTCATTTTATGATTTTAAAAGGAAGGTGGTTTAACTTCATTCGGGCGTCATCGGCCCCGAGGACCAGAAAGTTAGTTTGCCCTGTATTGTTTGTTGGAAAGAGGCACTCAGCGAACTTATAAAACCTCACACGGAGAAACCGTATCACTGGAGAGCACCTGCTCCAAGTTCTGAAAGAGAGCCTGGGCTGCCGTGCAGAGCTGGGACTTGAGGGTTCAGAACCTGTGTGGGGTGTGCCTGGGGAGGATTGATTCGAACCCCAGCTCCACTGCTCAGTGCCGGGCCTCTTTCTTCCAGGAGCTCAGAGGGCCTGCGTGATGTGCGGTCCCCGGGCTTCACGAGGCCGAAACTCGTCTGCTTGACTCCTCAACCGGCCCCAGGAGAAAACCTGAGGCGGGAAATGGAGAGGAAGCAGTGAAAGTTCTGGGCCCACTGCGGGGGCCGGGCCTGGGATGCACCCCTCCCGGGACCAGCTGACCCGTGACTGCTCCTCGTGGTGCCAGGCGACGCCCGCGCCTTGTGTCCCGTCCACCGCCCCCCCCACACCTCCCCGCCCCGCCATCACCCCCTTCCCTGCGCACGCCCACTCCACACACTCTCACTCCCAACGGCTCTTTTTGTTCCAGGCCAGGAGCACTTTCACAAATGGTTAGAAAGTCTTGAGCGCCATCTAACGGGAGCAGCAAAAAGTTGAAAGTGGGTGGAGGTTAAGACCCCAGGCTGGGCGTGGGAGAGTCCCATCCCTAACTCTATGGGCAATCTGGGGCCTTAACACCTCTCCTCTTCCTCCTACCAAGTAACTCTGTCGGACTCTGGAACTCCAGACTTGTCCTCCCCCATCCCCGAAGCTCACCTTCCCAGGGTCCTGGAGCAGGTGTGGGTTCCTTGCTTGGGGCCTTCTCCACTCCAGGTTGGAATGCTTGCCTGGTTTCCCTTGGACACGTCTGCCTGAATAGGACCCCTGTATCACTTAAAGTCTTCAGAGCTTTGATTTTGGCCTGGGATAGAAAATCTCACGAATTTGGATGAGGTGCACCACTTTTGGGAAATGAATGTCCCAAGTCAAAGCTTCTGCAGACAGGAGGAAGCAGAAGGCGGGTGAATAAAGTTAACAGCAGCCAATACAAAGGAAAGTATGCAGCCGAGAGATGCAACCTGACAGCGGCCCTGGAAGAGCTGAAGCCCGTCTCCAGGAAGGAAGGTGGATCCTGTAGAGCTGCCCTGTTGAGTGGGCTCACAAGGGATACAAGCCAGGAAGGACGCTGCCCCGGGGAAGTGTAGCTGAAGGAGTGTTGTGTGATAGGCTTTTCCTGGGGAGCTGCAACAGGTGCTGCTCACCCCAGAAAGGGACCCCACGACAGACCAAAAAAATGACCGCCCCAATGTCCAATTTGGTGAATCAATGAGTTTCTTTTTTAAGTTAGGGTTACTTAATGGGGTTACAAATGAGTGGCTAGTTACAAGGGGGGGGGTAAATGAGTGGCTAGTTACAAGGAGCGTGCGGGGTGGTGGGGGGGTTAAAAAAGAGACAGTGAAGCGACTTCACAACAAGTCAACCCCGCAAACAGGACACAGTTGAATGCTGCAACCTTGCAGCTCTCTCCACAGTGGGAATGTCTCTTTCTCTGAAGTTTGGCTGGTTAGAGACCCGCACAACCCCCCCCCCCCGTCCCGCCCTAGCAACTGTTTAGCTCCCTTTTTTATTGTTTTAGGGGAACCTCAAAAATCCTCCCAAGTTTTTGATCTCCTCCACACGTGACCTCTGGTTTACTTACTGATGCCTGTGAGCCTTACCTTCTCTTCTGAAGCGAAAGCCTCAATTTGGAGGGAACATACCCTACGAAAAGGCCATCTGGATATCCCCTTCCATCCCCTCAACCCCACCAAGGATTCCTAGCCAATGTGAGAGTGGAGCATCATGGGAAGTTCAAAATGGGGTCCTCCTAGTCAGGGCAGAGTGCACCGGAAGGTATCTTGAAGAACATGGAGGTGGGCAACAGAAAGCTTGACCAGCTGAGAAACCAGGGAGAGAAGAAGAGGTGACCACCAGGCCCACACCATCCTCCGGTCACAAGACTCCAAGACTTCTTCACACAGAAACTTTCTCCACATCTCAAGTCAAAAAACAAACCAAAACAAACCCCCAAACACAACAAAAAACAAAAAGCTACATAGATGGGCAGTCTAGAAGTTCTCTGGCCACCTTCTGGGGTCTACAGAGGTCATTAGAAAATCTCTTTCTCCTCCTTGGTGGATGTTATAAAGGTAGTAAATGTTATGGTGATAAAATATATGTGGTATAAAAATTTGGCATCTTATTCTTATAAGTGCATGTACGGCAGTCCAGTTGGAACACACACATTTGCATTGCTGAGCAACGCCACCAATTGCCCATTGCCAGACATCCTCACCTTGGCAACACGAAAGTCTCTATCCATTCCCCCGCCCAGCCCCCAGCGAGGTCTACAAAGTCGACTTCACCTCAATAGAAGCATACAACATTCATCTTTTTCTCTGGTTTACTTGACTTTGTGTAATGTTGACTTTTTATCCGTGTTATACCATATCCCAGCCTTTTCTTCCTGTTTCAAGACCATCTCGCTTCTTTATCCATCTATGTATGGATTCTGGGTTTTCCTCTCGTGTTTTGTGAATAGTGATGCTGTTGTGTGCATAGGTAAGCAGAAAACTCAAGTTCCTGCTTTCAACTCTTGGGTCTAAACCCTGAAACAGAATTGCTAGGTACTATGACAATCCTCTTCGGAACTCTCTGAGGGGCCTCCCTGGTGTTTTCCACAACTGCTGTGTCCTCATTTTTCCTTCTCATCCACAGCCCACAGAGATTCTGGTTTTTCCGCAGCCGCCCCAACACTTGACAGTTTCTGTCCTATCAAATAGTAGCCATTGTGACTGCTATAAAGTAACAGCTTGTGCAGGTTCTAAAACATGCCCCCCCCACACACACACACCTTTTCTTTTGAGATAAACTGACTTCAAGCTTCCATCTCTCCTATCTTTATCTCCAAAGTCCTGGGATGGCCATCTTGAAATATTTTTAGATGTTCATATAAGAACATAGTGGATACTGGACATGGTGGCAAACGCCTGTAATCTTTGCACGCTGGAAACAGAGGCAGGAAATCCAAGCCACAGAGAGACCCTGGGTCAAGCAAACAAACCAGCAAACAAAATCAAACCCAAACCAAATTTACAAAGGAACCTGAAACCAAATGAGATGACATCACCAAAGCAATTAATGTATCTATCGGTCAATAGGTAGATATCACATATCAGTACCAGAGAATGAACACACGAGCTCACGCGTACTAGGCAAACACTACCACTGAGCCTTATCTCCAAGACAGGCTCTTACTATATTGACCAGGCCGACCTGAAATTTCTAGCCTCCCAAATATCTGGGATTACAGGTCTCTACCAAAAGACTTTCTAAAAATACAAAGCATCCATAGGTTACACCAGCAAAAATATCTCAGCAATGATAAGGATTTTCAGTCTCTGGCCTTTGGAATTTATGTCTAGGAACAACAAGAAGAGAAACGATTGAGATAGAGGAGCAAATAGAATGGATTTTTTTTTTTTGATGATCACATTTTGATCCATTCTTCCAATCAGAAGCCAGAGAATTGTGGGGGCGTATTATTAGTAAGCCCTATTCATTTCTTTGTTCCTAGAAGGAGACCTTCATGAGATAGAGAGGATGTGGGGGGGTTACTTGTCTTCCTAGATTCTTTGATGTATTCAAATTGAAAATGAGAGAGACTGCAAGTGGCCCAGACTTTGGCTGTGTGGGTACCTGGTGGAAATCTTTGAAGTCTCTTTTCCTAGAAAAGAGCTGAGAAATGGCAAGACGGCAACTATATATTCAGGAGAGGCGACGTTCTACGGCAGGATCCCCTGTGCCCAGTCCCTCAGCACAGTTCTCAGGACCCATGCCAGCCTTGTTTAGTATTTGTGTGAGGCATACCCACAAAGTGCCCTATTATTCTTTTATTTCCTCTTTTTTTATATTAGCCATTTCTTTTTACAGCCTGGGGAGCCAGGCTAGTGTTTTTATTTCCCACGTGTAAGAGAAAGCGTCAAGAGTGGGCAGAAGATGAGGAATGGAGCCTGTTGTGATGACAGGGTCATGACTGGGGCTCCCAGCCTGGGCTGCAGCTTAGCCTGCTGAACTACACTCTTCTGTTACCTCACAGGGCGCTTGACTCAGGGCAGAGATGAAAGAAAGGGAAGCAGCAAGCCTTGGCAGTGACCACCACCTCCTCTCTGCCACCAGGCTGACTGAAGCACTTGAGGGGTGGTGAGGGGTCTGGGGCAGGGTGAAGGAAGCTTGAAGGGGGTTGGGAGCCCCCTTGGGGCAGAAGGCTGAGGAAGCAGTTCCTGGTACCTCAGTTCTGAGCACTTGTCTGGCCCTCCCCTTTAATTGCTGTGTCTGCTCTCCAGAGAGAAGGATGATACTTTGCCTCAGGAGCTTCTGTTACTTAAAACAAAAGAGGAAGCCTTGACTGTGGCAGCTCACAGGAGTCATTTCCTCTCTCATTAAAGCTACTTCCAGGAGAAAGAGAAGCTTCTGCTGGCCCTGGGA